CAGTTTTGACAGATCACGATATTAACGTTAAATTCATAGTCTTATTATTAATTATAATTCTGATACAAAATCATAATCAAAAACAGGGTCTATGCAGGTTTTTCAACTTGTAATACTGTATACCGTCAAATATAACCCGAATTCATTATATATTTATTTATATTTTTTATATAAATTGACTTAAAAACCGGTTTATAAGTATGATAAAGTAAGTCAACTAGGATTGAAATTAAATTAGAGTGGTTTTTTATGTTGCATTAAAATATATAATTTTAAAAATTAGAGTATTTTAACATTAGAATTAGTACAAATTTAGCTTGAAATTGTAAATCATTTTTTATATTATACTTTTGGAATACAAAAATTCGATAATTCAAAACGATAATCTCCTAGCAAATTTATTGAACAGTTAGAATTTTCGGTCTTTTTTTTAGAGCATCACGCAAGCAAAATTAAAATTTACACGATTTCTATCAGAAAAGAATGTATTAAAAGCCACATGATTATATCCGTATCTTTATCTGACATAAGATTCGTCAAAACTATTTGCATTACCTTTGCAGTAAAATAACATGCGACATTAGTGAATTAAGAAGTTTAGTTACTGGTCTTGGCAGCAGATGATTGTGATTAGGCACGAAATACAAAGAAAAGTTTATCTTACAAATCTAGACTGACCCCTTAATGTCTTCTTCGACAAAGTAAAACTTCATACACACGTTTAAAGTAATATATCACGTGACACTAACGAATTCGCAATTTTTACAAATTTATTGACTGACATTAATTAGCTTAACGAAATAAGATATCACGTAGCACTAACGAATTCACAAAATTTAGAATTATTATATATAAAAAATAAAGTTTATCTTGCATGAGCTTTGACTGACAAATCTATTATTGCACATGCGTGAGTTATTTTGAAGTACGAAATTTCACGTGATTTGTCGAATAACAATATGATTGTTAAGCCTGAAAGATTATCTTACATAAGATTCGTCAAAACTATTTGCATTACCCTTGAAGTAAAATAACACGCGACACTAATGAATTAAGAAGATTAGTTAATGGTTTTGGCAGTAGATGATTGTTATTAGACACCGAAATACAAAGAAAGTTTATCTTACAAATCTAGACTGACCCCCTTAACGTTTCTTTGATAGAAATTTCCTAAATAAATTGTGTCCTAACCCCAAAATCGCGTGAATTTTATCATTATTAATGGTGAATTTGTGTGAAATGTCGCATGAAGTTTTACTTTGTCAAGATAATTTCACAAATTCAGTCAATAGACTTGTAGTTTGGTGGAATTTCATATAATTTAACCTTTTAGGTTTAAAATCGCGTGTTTCAGTAAGAATATCGCGTCAAATCACAATCACATCCGATACTGATATGTATGTCTGATATGGTGAGGAATCGAATGAAATTTTATTTTGTTTATTACCTAGGGGAAGTGTTTCGGTGCCTAATTACAATAATACTGAGAAAAGGTATTTTACTTCGAATATAATACAAACCTTCAATTTGAATTCATTGGTGTCACGTGATATCTTACTTTGTTAAGCTAATTACCGAGTATGCATGAAGTTTTACTTTGTCGAAGACGAATTAGAAATCAAGAATCTCAAAAATTCGGCCAACAAGAAACCCATGGAACTTGTAAAAAACTAAGCTCAGACCATCAATGTACAATAAGGTTGAGTTTGATCAAATTTACAAATAATAACCTAAATAAAATAATTCAATGCATTAAAAATATACTCTTGATAAAATTTATATATTGGTAATAAAACTAAAACTTTTCAATTATTATAGTTCGTGAAATTAATCATTGCATTATTCAGCATGTGATAAAGATTTATATTTTTTGTTACTCAAGAAAATTCTTGTATGTACTTTTAGAAATAAAAAAAACTTCTCAATTAACACATATTTTTAAAAAGAAAGCAGAAAAAGACATCAATATTTTCGAATTTTATTCTGATGCTTATATTAATATAAGTTTAAATTTAAAAAGAAAAATAGAATTTTTATAGTGATAACGAGAAAAGCATTAAGATATTACTTGATATCTATTTTCTGTGGTTCTAATAAACTTTAAAAATGATTGATCTAACTTGCTCCTTAATAAAATAAATGAGCTTTGCCACAAAATGAATAATAATATTTATGACAAATTCTAAACAAATCATTATAAATTTATAAACCTCAACCAAAAAAAAACCAAAAAAATCTTTCAAGCATATTTTAACATCTTCAGCAACTTCTATTGCTTCCCCAATGGTTTTAAAAGAGCTTTCACAAAGTAAGACAATGCTTCGACGATATTACTTATATACTAGTAACAAATTTTACCGAATTGGAAAATCTCAAAAGTTCTATTCTTCTTATATATAGCCACTTCCGTTGGAGTTTTGATGTCTAAAAATTCATTTGATCTCTAATGGACAGTTTGAAATTTCGATCTTTTTTGGGTACATCACGCAAACAAAATAGAATTTCATGCAATTTTCCACACCAGAAAGATTATTAAGCCAATAGAGATTATATACTCTTGCTCAATAGCATTTTACATCATGTATACTAAAGTAACTTTCAATATAATATAATGTGCAATTATTTTACATATGTTATTTAAAAAACTACAATTTTGAATAATACAATATCGATATCAAGTGAATTTTTGTATAATTATAAACTATTATTATGCTAATATAAAAAACTATTCTGAAATTCAATTCCGGTTTTATATAAATTAAGTATAAATTAGTAATGTATAAATTTAATTATTGCTAGAATAGCTTGCTATAGATAAAACCGGTTTTTAAATTTGATTTCAATATGTTATCGTTTAAGATTGATGTTAACTGATATTGCTTAAATAGCTACTTTAAAAATAAAAGCAGGTTAACAAACATATAGCACTAGTGATTGTATATACAAGATTATTTTTATATATATACAGGACAGATGTAGAAATCAACATTTATCCAATAATAAAATAAACCGGTATAATCTAATGGCTAGTGCAAATTTAGAACTGTATAAATTAATATATATAATATATATTTATGCTACATATTATATTTTACAATATGGGATTAATTTTTATTGTATTAATATATTTTGCAGTAATAAACCATTTTAGTATTTAGGGTCTTTGCCTTGAAAACCAAGTTATGAGACATAGTAAATTATATGTTCCATAACTAGATTTTCAATGCAAAGACCCCATTTATACAACGTTATGTATTATATAAAAATTATAAGTTCTGACACTAAATGCACATGATTACTCATTAAAATAAATGTAAACGTATATTACATATCTTGCCTCAGAATAGTATAGTTTACTTTAAAAACGTGTATATAGAGATGTGATCCTTTCAATTATTAAAACTGAAGTTTTATGTATAAATAATTGAACAGATTACATCTCTACGCCCAGATTTTGTGTAAAGGAAATACTCTGTTCTTGGATTTTTTTGCGAGGCGATCAATCGTTGTTTGTTTAAAATTTTATTTTATTGATAAAATGTTTTATGAAAAATTATTTGCAGATTTTATCGTCGAAGGATGTTATTTTTACATCAACGTTAATTTTCTTTTTCAATATTCTCAATCGTTGCTTGCGAAGTTGTTTTGTAAAATATCGCACAAAGATGTTATAGAACTCGATAAATATGGTAGGTTTATTATTTAAGTTGATTGATATTTTTAAAAAATCTTTGTGTAATGAAAATTAATGTGGATCTTTGTAGGGTGACCTATAAGAAATGTTTGATGCTCGTCGATTTCTACACGGAAGGGAGGCACCCAGAGTGGGTGACTCCGAGAACATTATATGTTTTTGAAATATTTAATCTTCCCTCTCCGGAACCAGGATGGCAACAACGACAGCAACAACAGCAATGACAACAGCAATGACATCAGCAACCACAGCAGCAACCACGAATGCAACGACAACCTCGAGAAATACAGAAAGGTTTAGAAAATCTGAAATTTGAAAAATCGAGGCTTGAGTGTAAATTGTATGAATTAGACAATGAGCTTAAGAAACCAAATTTGGAAACACATATTCGCGAATAGTTAATAATGAGTAAGAATTTAAAGGTTGCACGTCTAAAGAACGTAGAGCGAGAGATCAAAAAATTGAATGATGAGTTGCGAGGTTTTGAAATTTTGCAAGGTTTTGAAAAACATGAGAAAAATGAATGCAACATATGTCTTGTTGAAGACGAGTGTTCAACATTCAAATGTAAATATCTAAAGTGTGATTATCATTGTCATTATGATTGCTGGGTTAAATGGTTCGATATTTGTGGTTTTATGCAGTGCCTGTATTGTAGGCGTTATTATAATTAGCAAATAATTTAAAAAATTTTATGTTTTAATAAATATATTAGTTTAATAAAATTGAGTTTATCAACTCTTTCCGACGATCATTTGGACCAACCTTACTGACAAAAAAAAAATAGAAGTTTGCTGGAGTTGGAGCTGAAGTAGATACATAGTAATGGTTTTTATAGAAGTCAACCGGGTTGTCTTGCTTTTTCTTTTGGCTCGGAGACTCATCTATATATTTATCATGCAAGTTAGAAGTGTTCTTGTACAAGATAACTGGCAGGAGGGTGCGCTCTTGTACAAAAAATTCTAATGGAAGAGGTCTTTCATTTCCGATAACGAAGTTATATATGCACCTAACTTACCTGGAGAACAGCAGACAACTGTTTTAAAGAAGCTTCATACTCTTTTACTTGGCCAAGTGGTTCCTACTTTACTATTACTCACCTCCCTATCAGTTTTTCAAAATTTTTTCTAAAAAGTGGGGATTTGGCTTACCTCCTCCAAAAGATCAACATTGTTTACCTCCAAATCCGGATAGGCTGGTAGATAGAAACACGTGTCCAAAAATGGATATAACGTTCAAGTGCTGGAACGGGTCCCAGTTAAAAAAGGAATCCCTGATTACGGCAGCAAGTGGCTTGAGATACGGGTCTATGGACGGTGGCAGTACTTGCTTGAGATACAAATTAGATTTATAAAAATTTCCGGAGTTGGGTCGGAAAAGAAAATAACGATAAGGCATAGTCTTATAGTAGAGATATACAGATGTTGCTCTTGTATATAATTTTTATCAACCTGGCACGGGTTGTAATAGTGCACTTCCATTTCTTATATGTGTCAGGTTCGCCTATCTTTTTTTTGCTTTTTTTATCTTTTTCCCTTTATGTATAGATAGAGTTTAGGGTTTGTGTTCGATTCTTGTTTGTA